GATTAAGAACAAAGATAATTAGTCAGCAGTTCCAGGTTTTTTTATATATATATATATATATAAAAAAAACAATCTTATTTCCTCCTCCATGCCTTCTTCTGTCTCTTACTGAGGCAGAAATCTATCTGTTGTATACTGTTCCTTTAAATTAACATATATTGCAATATCTGAGTATATGTTCCAATTTTTCTTATTAATAGTATAGTCAAACATCCATCACCACAGCAATTTAGTGTGAATTCCCACATCAACAACACATTTTAAGGGCACGTACCATTCACAGTTCTCTGAATACCTCTTGTGTACATTTATATCTCTAAAGTGAAGTAGGAGTTGGGCTGACATTTGGTCGGCAGATGATGTATGCAGCAGCCTGCAATATGTGTTTAAGAAGTACAAAGATTCTTGGAATAAACACTGTAACTTTTATTTTTAAACACTCTGATAGTTTCTGATTGGAAACAGAATTCCATCAGAGGAGATTCAAGATGACAATATTACCACCGGTGGAACTACAGATTTTAGCTGAAAAGTAAATTCATTATATGAATACCTACAGGAGTCAGTGGGGATGGTTAGATACTGCAAAATCTCTGTGGACCTGTTGTTGATTTCTTCCACACTTTCAGTCCTGCTTCCTTCACCCAGGAGTTAACATATACTCCACAGCCGTAAGCAGTATTTTTCATAGATGACTGCAAACCTCTGTTCTCTCAGGGGTAAAAGGCTCTTCATTTGTGGTCATAGGAACTGCAGCTGTGCTTTCAGCAATTTCCTAACATTATGAGCATACCTTTTGTGAAGAGATCTTGAGGCATCAGGGTTCAGCAAGAATTTTGCTATTTTCTTGAATGGATGCTTTGCAATACAGTTGTGTAGGAAGGCACTTGTATTTTGGGAAGAAGGCAGAACATAGCGTCTAGTGGCTATATAGGGATTGAATAGGTCATAAAACCTCATAATTTTAGAAAAACAAAAAGAAAAAGAGAAAAAGGTGACAGATGTCTTGCACAGGGAAAGGTTCAGGTGTAGTAGATAAGGAAGCTGATAAAACGTCAATTTAACCTAGGAACTTGCGTCATATGTCTTGGTGTTTACTAGTAAGATTTCCCAGCGATTTGCATTAGCAAAATCTGGGTAAAGAATGTGCAAAGCCCATGATGTCTTGAATTCAGTTAGGGGCCTATATTTACAAAGGTAGGGAATGATTCTTTACTGCAGAAAACTAATTTAAACCAGTTTAGCAGGCCTTCTGCCTGCTAAATTATCCAGTTATCGTCTTACTGAAAGATGAAATGAAAGCTGTTTTCCAAGACATTGAATTAAAGTGCTACTTTAAAACATACACTGGTTGAGAGTCATGTTATATAAGGTTCTCCTCAGCTTACAGCAAAACTGAAAAAAATAAAATGAGGAGCAGTGATGCATAAGCTCAATATATTCTTACAAACTAGCAGTATGTTAGCTTTGCCTTGTTAAATATTTCTTAAGCAATTTTTAATTGACAACATATGTTGAACATCACATAGCAATGTGTGCAAAGCACTTTACATCTGTCATAGCCTCCTGAAGCTAATCCCTCTTTAATGTGCTAGCTTTCTTTGTATTGCTGCAGGCTTTGTTTCTGTTTACTGTCTTCTAAAAGGAAGGGGAAAAAAACAAGTTAGCTGTCAGTGAGAACATGCTTATTTTACAAAGATTTTAATTCTATTAATCTTTTGAATGGCTATCTGCTAAGAAATCATTATTACCAGGGACAATGACTTACACAGAAAGTAAAAGTTAAATTCCATTTCTTTCAAGGAGAATTGTATACTTTGAGCTTCCAGAAATGTCATTCCAAATCTCACAAGAATTTAATCTTTCTTTTGATTTTGCTTTACTGCAAAAAACAAACCAAACCAAACACAAAGGTGAATAATTTAATCTTTTTTTTTTTTTTTTTCTGTAGTACTTAACTTTTCTGTTGAATGTGAAATTTAGTTACCCACTATTTTTGTGACTCTGTAGTAGCTACCTTTCTGTAGTACCCTACACAGGGATAGACTTTAGACTCGGTCTGCTAGACTTTGTACTAATGTGTTCTGCAATCTTAGTCAATTAACTTATCCAAATCACCACTTTCTTATCTAGAAAAAAAATCAACATTTATTATTCTCCTGTATACATAACTTTTGAGATATATGTATGAAAAACCATGTAAAGTGTAAAGGAAATATTTTTTATTATTATTTCTAATTAATATCTGGCCTTTGTTTATAGAAATCATCACAGGATATGGTGTAAAAGGCTACATGTTTTCTATGAACTTCTGGGAAAAAAGGAATATGCTTACAAAAACCAACATGTGAGGAAAAACATTAAAAAATACCTATCTTATAGCAGTTTAAGATGTAAATGAAATAAGACAGTAGAAAATTCAGTCTAATTATTTTTATTTACATTTTTTCTTGGAGTGGGGGAGAGCAGGGAAGAATGAGATATTTCAAAATATGAGAGTAAGGCTGAACTAGCAGGGGAGGGGGCTTTTAGATAGACAGGAATCTTACATCCAGCATTGCATCATGGAATTGGCTGCTTGGAATGTGAAATATACAAAGAATTTGGAAATTTCAGGAATCCTGTCTCACACTAGCCTTCCTGGGAAGCAGCTAGACAATGGGAGCTTGGGAGTCCTTCTGTCATAGAGAGACTCCAACATGAACAAATAGACTGCCAAGGAGTCAGGGCAATGGGGTTAATTTTCATTATCAGACAGGATTTGCTGAAATCAGCAAGCAATGTGACTTCAACGGACTGTAATTTTCTGATAGGCAAAGCCCTACTGAAAATCTCTTGATCAAACACAGAACACCACCACAAAAAATTCCTGAAACACAGGTATAAACCCTCTAGATACTCATAATGAGAAACACTTTTAAAAAACCTTATGGTATTGAAAGTTTGCTTCAGTTAAGACCAGCTGATATCCCAGAACAACACAATTTACACAAAGGCTCTAAGTAACTGCTATAAATTGTAATTTATGTGCTGTATCTGAATATTTCATAATGTAACACTGATACTTCAGCTGGACAATGAACTGGAATTCCAGGAAAGGAAAAGAAAAGCAGGAATAGCTCCACTTTGAAGAATATAGTTTTCTTACCTATTCTTTTCATACCAGGAAGTTTTTCAGATACGTTAATAATCAGAAACAAGAAACTGAAAATAAACTGAAACAAAGTAAAACAAAATTTAAGATATTCTGGTTTATATCCAGCTCAATTTATTTTGGAGCTGAACTGTCAATTTTTTCCTTATAGGAATTATGAGAATTATTGAAATCCCCATGTAGATATTTCACATCCTATATAGCAAATCAGAATTATTTTTCCTGTTAGCTTTACTCCCAGCCACACTACTGAAGCTACCTGTACCACAAACTGTAAACACTGCTGACTGGAGAACAGATTTTGAATAAGGTATGAATCTTGGTTGCAATGATCCAGAGATAAAGGCAGAGACAAGATAAAATGGAAAAAAAAGCCCTGATAATCTCACTCTGGCTGCTTACAGTGTGAAAAAAAGTCTTGGGCTACGTTAATTTGTTACCATGCAATGGAGAAATACAGGCTCCTTAGGAAAGACAGAAAGGGAAGATGAGAAAGGAGAGTTGTTCTTTACATGAAAGAGCAGTTGGAGCGCATGGAGCTCTGCCTGGGGATGGATGAGGAGCCATCTGGGAATTTGTGAGTCAGGATAAACAGGACAGGTAAAGGAGATGTTACAGTGGGTATCTGCTATAGGCCATCTGAACAGGAAGAATGAGTGGATCAAGGCCTCTATAGACAGAAAAGAGCAGCCTCAGGTTTGCAGGCCCTGGTCCTCATGGGAGGACTTCAGCCACCCCAATGGAGGGTGTTTGGGACAACACAGGAGGACATAAGCAATCCTGGAGGTTCCTAGAGTGCATTAATGATAGCTTCCCCCTCCAAGTGACAGAGGACTCAAGGAGGAGAGCTGCTCTGCTGGACTCATACTCACCAATGAGGAGCGGCTCATTGGGAACATAAAGGTCAAAGACAGCATTGGCTGCAGTGAACACAAGATGGTAGAGTTCAGGATCCTGAGGACAGGGAGGAGGGAGAAAACCATATGCAAACCCCTGGACTTCAGGAGAGCAGACTTGGGCCTCTTCAGACACCTGCTTGGAAGTATCCCATGGGATAAGGCCCTGCAGGGAAGAGGAGGCCAAGAAAGCCTGTTAGTAGTCAAGGATCACCTCCTCCAAGCTCAAGACATCAATTCCATTCCAATTAATAGGAAATCAGGCAAAAATGCCAGGAGGCCTGTGTGGATAAACAGGATGCTCCTGGCCAAACTCAAACAGAAAAAAAGCACACAGAGGGTGGAAGCAAGGACGGGTAGCCTGAGAGGAATACAAAAATATTGTCTGAGCATCCAGGGATGAAGCTAGAAAAAAATAAAGCCCAAATGGAATTGAATCTAACATAGATGTCAAAGACAACAAGAAGGGATTCTTAGAGTACATAGGTGACAAAAGGAAGACTAGGGAAAACATGGGCCCAATGCTCAATGAGATGAGGGACCTGGTTACACAGCACATGGAAAAAGTGGAAATGCTGAGTGCCTTCTTTGCCTCAGTCTTTACTAGCAAGACTATTCTTTGGGAATCTCATGTCCCAGACACATGGCAGAAAGGCTGGAACAAGGAAGATGTACCCTTGCTGGAAGAGGATCAGGTTAGGGAACAGAACTTACACAAACTGGACATGCGTAAGTCCATGGTCCTTGATGGCATGCACCCAGGAGTGCTGAGGGATCTGACAGATGTCATTGTGAGACCGCTCTCAAAAATCTTTGATCAATTATGGTGACTGGATGAAGTGTCTGTAAACTGGAGGAAAGCAAATGTCACCCCTATCTTTGAGAAGCGCAGCAAGGAGGACCAAGGGAATTACAAGCTGGTCAGCCTCACCTTGGTCCCTGAGAATGTAATGGAGCACCTAATCTTGGAAACCATCAAACATAGTCAGCATGGCTTCACCAAGGGGAAATACTGCTTGACCAACTTGATAAGAATCTACAATGAAATGACTGTCCTGGCAGATGAGGGCAAAGCAGTGAATATTTTCTGCCTGGACTGTAGCAAGGTCTTTGACATTGGCTTGCAAAAGAACCTCATAGAGAAGCTGTTGAAGTATGGGCTGTATGAACAGACAGTGAGGTGGATTGAAAACTACCTGAACAGCCTGGCCCAGAGGGTTGTGAACAGTGGAACAAAGTCTAGTTGGAGAACAGCGACTAGTGATGCATCCCAGGCGTCAATACTGGGTTCAGTCCTGTTTAACTTCATCATTAACAACCTGGGTGATTGGGCAGTGCGTACCATTAACAAGTTTGCAGATGACACTGAACTGGGACGAGTGGCTGATATGCTGAAGGGCCATGCTGCCATCCAGAGGGACCTTGACAGGCTGGAGAGATTGGCTGACAGGAACCTCATGAAGTTCAACGAGGGGGAGTGCAAAGTCCCACGCATGGGAAGGAACAACCCCATGCACCAGTATATGTTGGGGGCTGACCAATGGGAAAGCAACGTGGCAGAAAAGAACCTGGAAGTCCTGGCGGCCAGCAAGTTGAACACGAGACAGCAGTGTGCCTTTACGACAAAAAAAAAAAATAAAATAGGCTAATGGTTTGTTAGCTGCATCAGGCAAATTATTGCCAACAGGTTGAGGAAGATTATTCTTCCCCTCTACTCAGCCATGGTGAGGCCACGCCTGAAGTACTACGTCCAGTTCTGGGCTCGTCATCACAAGAGAGACATGGACATACTGCAGAGAGTCCAACGAAGGGTCACAAAGGTGATTAAAGGACTGGAATACCAGTCATAGGAGAAAATTACAACAGAAGCAGGACTGACTGTGTGGAGAGTGTGAGAATACCTTTGTCATCATTGTGCCTGCCTTAGTTTCCCTTTTTCTGTATGGCTGAAATAAAGGAAAGAATTTGTTAAGAATCTTGTATTGTGATGGGAGGTTGCAGATGTTTATAGTAGTGTATGCAGCGTTATTGGAAACTCAGTGGGGCCCTCCTACCTAAGAAATTACACTTTGCTGAAGAGAATGGAATTTTCCACTACCAGATATTTGCTTTAAGCAGTGAATCCCCCCTGGAGGGAGGAACAGAACAATGTGAATAGGTTGTATTAAAGAGGACAGCAAATGGAAGACTAAGAGTGTAGTTCCACATATATTTTCTCTGGAAGTGAAGCTAATTTAAGAGGTACTCACTCCCTACACAAACGCACACACCTTGAATCCCTGCTGCTTGTTCTCGTTCACCACCCTCTTTTGTGCTACTGAAAATGTTTGTCAGGCCATAATTTAGAATAGATCCCTGAAATGAACTGTATTAATAAAAGAATCTCCAAGGTTTTTTATTCACGTCAGTGATTCAGTTTACAACACAGCATTACAAATAGTTGCACTGCTACGTTGAAGAAGTGGTGAATTCTAACATAGGGGCAGGAATAAGCAAGTGCTGTTAGAAAAGTTATCTTTTAAAACAGCTTTGCCAATGAAGAGTACATGTAACTGTACTCTGGAAACCCATGGGGAAAGAAAGGGTTCTCAGGTGTCCTATGTTGCTTTGCATAATAAAGGCTTTCCTCAGTTCCATCTGGGCATTCTGACTTCAGGACTTTGGCTTAAGATTAGATGTCTAATAATTGCTGGCTTGTTTTATTATGCTAAATTGTCTTTAAGAGTGTTCAGTTCTTGACTGGAACAGTTGAGGTCTCTTTGGTGGGACACAGAACATATTGGGGTGTTGTGATTCTTTCTCTTTATAAAAGAACGAACCCATTTAGTCTGGCCCACATAAACAATTGTATCTCTATACTGCATCCAGGGAAAGATTAAGGGGAACTTCATAACGTCTGATCCTTGCATAAAAGTAAAGAAAAAAAAAATTAATTATGTCCAAAACACAAGGAAAATAAGTGTTCCCACCTAAAAGAACTGGAATTTGAGTATAAAACATAAGTCACCTGTTTATCCTTTCCCTCTTTTCCCTATTTGATACTGCAGACATACTTGGCATCAAGAGATGATAGAGTCATACATGAAAAAATTATCATATCATGAGTAATGCTAGCAGTACTATAAAAGTCGTCACTTTGTTCTTTCTAGTAAAATTACTACTTCTATTTTATTTTCAAGTATTAACAAACCCTGACAAAATACATATTTATTTCACATCATAACCATATACACATATTAATAAAACAGATGAAATTTCAAGTCTGGACATAACAGTAAAGACCAATAAAATACTTTTACCAAAGCAAGTGTGTTTGCTCACAGTATCTTTGTACAGGCATGTTAGAATAAGAGATATCCAAGCAAGAAAAAAGTCAGTATTTTGAAGTACTTTTAAAGTTAATTTGGACTAAAAAAGACTTCATATGTGTACAAAATGCTACTCAACATAAGCAAAAGCTTTGTCTGTTCTGATGTTAAAAAAAAAAAAAATTATTTCCACCCATTTCCATGGAACTTACTTTCTATCTCCACTGAACTTACTTTCCTGTGTCTCTTACAGAAAGGGGAGAAACATAATACTCAAATTCATACAATGAAGCCCAGTAATTTGAATTTCAATTCACTTCTCAACAAGGCAGGACTGCAGTTTTTGTCTTTACATTTTAAAAAATTATATTTCTAAGATGATTAGTAGTAAGTTTCTAATATGACTTCAATGTGAAGTTTTGTGATTTGCTTGAATGTAATTTACAATAATCCTTTCTGCATCACCTAATGACTAAATAACACTAATATGAACAGATATGTTAAAAATATGCGTACAAAGATCATCCTCAAAAACATTTTACACCAAACTTTAACTAAAATATACCATAATATATGAATTAAATAAGAAACACAACATAATTTTGTTTCTTATTTAATTCATGTAGCAAAACACATCAAGATATTTTCATATCAACTTAGAAAAACCTTGAAAAATGTTTGCCTTTACTCAATGGAACTGAAATGCAGAAAAGATTTCCTTTATTTCCACCAAATAAGAGACTCTGAAATAACAGGATACAAAAATGTTAAAGATGGAGTATAGTCATGCAAACAGAAAAGCATCATTGACATGACCTTGTCTATTTCTATCATCTTTCTTGAGTGAAATCTTACAACATCATGAAGTCTTCCTAGACATTATCACCACTGATTTTCTCAGAAACATCAAGACAATGGCAGAGACCTTAACTCACAATGTTTTTCAAAGCATCTTAGCTTGTAAAATGAACTCGCTAGGATTCATAGTAAGTTTAAATTATAATAGTTTGACAGCTTACTATTACTGAAACAACTTTTAAAATTGTGTGTGTTGCTATAAATCTTCTATTCCAGTTTACAGCAAAGTGAGGGAAAACATTCTGAAAACTAAATTCGATATTTTGATCTAATACAAGTTTTATACAGAATAAACATTCACTGTTTGCCAACTCTCTTGATTTAAGGAAGAAAAAAAAAAGGAAAAAGAAAAGAGAAGAGCCTGCAGAAAACAGAGAGAATTGAAAATGGTAACATAAAATAAAAAAATAAGACAAATTATCTCAGTTACCAAAACACTTAATAACTCTAGTCAGTTCACATCTCGCTTACCAATAAACTTTTCAAATTACATAATGCTAACAAAACACAGAATCAAGTCCCAGTGACATGTTACTGTCATGACAATGAAATCCAATGTCTGCATTTATCACATTTGCTTATCTTGAGAAGCATCATTAAGTGACAAATTATCTTATTTAAATCAGTGGGAGTCCAGTATTCAATCTATAGAAATTCTTCGATGTAGTAATCTTCTTACTGGAATCGCTTCTAGTTGCAGGCATAGAGGGAGAGAAAACATACCCCAATGTGGCACCAGGTTTGATCAAGGTTCTCCTAACATGTCAAACATATGCAATGAGTTTTCAGTCACTTCTGGTTTTCATAGCTATTGTACTACTGACAACTGACATTTTGTACAGATAGATGTACATTTTTTCCATGGCCGAAGTGAAGGACGCTTCTGGTTTCTGTTTGTGTTAGGTAAGCTGTATTCTCCTTCTCTTTCCACTTGTCTTTGGTTATCAGGCAAACAAAATTGCCACTAGAGTAGACAAGTGGTTTGGATGTTTTAACATCATCTTGCTGCGTGTTTTAAGAAACATTTTTGTCGGATTATTTTTTAAATTTGAGAAAAGACACTTCTCTGAAATGCAGCCAAGCACCCAAGAGAGAGATTCTGTTTTCCAGTGCTGGTTTTGAGACACTGTGATCCTGTGATACATGAAACAATACAATGTAATTTTGTCCCTAGATCTTCCCCAGAATATGCAAATTGCTGTTTGGGTAAAATACTGTTGAAGATACAAAAGTCTTGAGACATATCAACACCTGGCACTGAAGAAAAAGGGAAAGTGGGTCAGAAACTACATTTCTGATAGGCACGAATTTTCATAGGAAGGAAAACAGTGCAGAACTGGAAGGTTTTTCCATTCAAATTTTATACTTTTTTAATAAGTTTAATAATCACAAAAATAAGGAAGAACTCAAGTTTGAAAACATCTTTAGAAAGCATAGCCTTCTGGCATTTTTTGTTCAGCTTCTCCATTGTTTTTTAAGTCGTTTATGACACCAGTGATTTTTGAGGCAGTTGCATCTAGATGAGGGTGGACTGCTCATTTAAATCACTATTTGAAAGGAAAAAATGGCTGGGATACTGAATTGGAGTCCTTTGAGCATAATCAGAAAGGATCTGCTGTCATTTTGGAAAGCTCCTCCTTAAATGAATATGCCTTAGGGCAAGTATCTCTGAGTGCTTATGGACAACAAGACAAAACTGATATATCTTTTCAAATTATGAAGAAAATGAACAAAATAGGTGATGTCAAAAGATGTGCAAATCTTTAAATTTTGTTGGAAAGGTGTTTTGGGGTTTTGGCTTTGTTTTCTTTTGTTTTGGTTTGGTTTTTGTTGGCTAGTGTGCAAAATCTTGGGAAGGAAGCATAATGAATTCGATAGTTTTCTCACAGAACAATTAGGTGAAAAATGGATTCTCTTGGAACTCAGATTTTATTACTTGGCCCTTTTCAAAATGACCACACCACTGTACTTACTTGAATCAGACCAAAAAAAAAAAAAAAAAAAAAAAAAAAAAAGTGAGGAATGGTTAATTAATTGGATATCTGAGCCAGGGATGTTGGAGGGAGGACAAAGAGAGACTGTCTTTCCAAATGATTATGTTCAAGTTCAGGTATTTTATCTTTATTCCAGATTTCACAGGGAAAGGTGGCAATTCATTGTGAAAGTACAGATTAGAGTTGTACTTGCTTGATTTTTCTTTTAATCACAAAGTCCTTTTTCAGGAGTTTCCAATGTTTGTATACTTCATACTAGTGCTTGCATCTTTAATTCTTGTGAATAGTGAATATCAATGCTTATAAATATCTAAAGGGTGGGTGTCAAGACGATGGGGCCAGGGTCTTCTCAGTGGTGTCCAGTGACAGCACAAAGGGCAATGGACACAAACTGGAACACAGGAATTTCCACTAAAACAAAAGGAAAAAATTATTTTCTTTGAGAGTGACAGAGCACTAGAATAGGCTGCCCAGAGAGGTTGTGGAATC